GTAGAAACATTGGTTGTTGTTGGGAGGGGTGGGGGGGTGCTTTTGGGGGGGGCTTTCGGGGGTCCCCCCCCCCCCCCCCGCCCCACTCTTTGCGTGCAAGCGGCCCACTTGTCCACAGCACCATTCATCTTTTCGCCGCTGGCTGAGCTACGCGCTCGCCTCCTTACCACGCATTTGCTGCGTGTGGGTGTGTGTGTTTTTCTCTTTAGCATCGACCGCGCTAATCGGCTGACCAATGACAACGCGTCAGTCTCCGTGCGTTTGAAAACACAAAAATGCTGCTGAATGCCACGATCCGGGACCCCGTGAGGGAGCGTCTTGGGGGAGTGAGTCTATGCTACTTTCCGGAGTAAATAAAGACAGATACCGTAGCAATAACTGTACGCGCGCGCGTGTATGTGTGGGTGTTCGCGCTTGCTGCGCCGCCGCAGGTGAAACAACGGACGACCCCGGCCGACAAGGGCCGGAGGCTGACCATCTCCGACCTACCCAGGCCAGAACAGCAGTCGCCCCCGGCAAAACCGCTCGCCCGGGATGACACGGACATCCGCCCCAACGGCGGGTCGGGGTCCGGTGACGGGGGCGAGGCGGGGGTCTTTAGGCTGGGCGTGACGACGCCTGTAAAGTCCAACGGGAAGCGCCGTCGATCATAGGGTATTCTTCTCCCCCTCCCCCCCGTAAATCACACAAAACATTATTTAGTTATCTTCTCCCCCCCCTAAGAAACACCAACAAATAGAAGAGAGTATTCTTCGCCCCCCCCCAAAAAAACACAGCAGTGGGGTGGCTGGTAGTTCGGTTTTAGGCTGGGTGGGCGGGACACGGCGCCGCCGTGCTCGATGGCACAGGTCAACGTTCTGAGTTGGCACCGCACGTCCTCCTGCGCACGACCATGATCCTATTCCTGCCGAGATCGCCTCTTGTATATGTTTGCGAGGCGGTGTCTTTTGCTTGGCGAAGACAAGGACGAAAATTTTGTGGTTTGTGTCGACAAGCTGTTGCAAAGCTTGTCGTGTTGTACTTTGAGAGTGTGTTTGATCAACCGAATCCCCCGAGACCTTTGAAAGAGTCGTTTGGGCGTGAAGGGTTGATGGTGAGCGTGTGATTGCTTTCGCGTGTTGTGCGTTGTGTTCGTTTAATTGTCTTTGTGTTGTGGTATGCGTACTTTTTTGTAGTCAGGGATGACTTATTTTGCTGGTGCTGGTGTTTGGTTCCTTGTATTGTGGGTTTCGCTAGACCAACCCATGGGTTTTGACCTGAGCATCGTTCGGTCCTTACAGAAAATGAAAGACCCGACGGGAAGACATTAGGCATTTTCGCGGTTCGCTGGTTGTGAGCAGTGTCGAACTCCCGCCTTCGCTGGGAAAGCCGCTGCATGCTTGAGGCACGCGACTTTGCGCGCCGCGCTATGTACTAATAGTATGCTGGTGCACCCAACCCGGTTCATGAAGCGTGTTTTTTTGCTTGAGGTATGTCGGGTAATTCCGCCACACCTACACCAACCGCTTGTTTCACTGGAGTAGATTCACGCTCTTGGCCGTGTCTCGGCCAACAGCAAAGGCTGTGGGAAACTTCCCGCTAGAACACAGACCGCAATAGCCACGATGGCCTGTTGTTGATAACACCCCGTTCATTGTCTGTTGCTCGGATTTTGTGCCTTCAACCGTGCGGTTTTGTTCGGTCCGGGGTCGCACAGAGTAGCTGTTCTGCTGTGCGCACGCGTTCATCCGCAAGACAAGCGGGGCTCAGCAATCCCTTCCGTTAAGCGTACTCGTCGACTGGAACCAAGGGTACGTAGATGTGGATTGCGGCCTTGCTTCGCTGGGATTCCAGTGCCCGGCCTCTAGCTGCTACAATTGTGAGGTTTAAAGCTATAGGACAACGGGGGCGAGTGGCTTACCAAACACCCAGCGGTTCAGCTCTTGCTTTTACTGCATTCATTTGTACTGGATACACGTCAGTAAGTAAACTCCACGTTCTATGCTTGTGGTGGCTGATTGATCTTTTTCAAAACGAAATCCTTTCTTTTACAGCACTATGCAATTTGTCCGGCTCCAATCCTGACTTCCATCTATCGGAAGCACGCTCCTTCTCCCCCACCCCCCCACCCCCAGCGTTCAATTATTGTGAAGGATGGCAAGAACTATAGCTCTTAGCTCTTAGATTATGATGGATTCCCTTGTGCGAGTCACGGGGACATCAACCCCACAAAAGAATTGTTCCTACAATTCCAACGTCCGGGAGAATACTGGGGATGATAGGCAACGGGTTTGATCCTACGCAAGTAGACCAATCGGCGGCCATCAACCAGGCTCGATTGGAAACCATCTCTCCACTCTGCCATACTCCGTATTTGCAATCGCGTTTCGTGTTGATTTCTCGGGCCCATTCATTTTATCTGTGATTTAATACCCAAAAGTCTATTGGTATATAGACTAGTTGGATGGAGTGACCACGGACGGTGCCGGTGAACGTTATACAAGTACGGGTATACACGTAAGACATCGACTACACGACAACACCAAAACAGCATCAGCAAAAACAACGGAAACCACAATAACAACAGCCAACACCGTTGCACAAATCGCGCCCCCGACACACGCTTCACTCTTGGCAAGAGTCTCAGACGAGCCCGGAACGCGCACTGGTCACAACCCGACCAAAGACCGCGGCGTTGGCTGAAGTAACGACTCCCTCGTCTCCCACTTCATCGGATGCCCGACTTTTGCTCCGAAAATCCTTTCTGCGGGAGGGCACGAAATCGATCTGCCACAGCGTTCAACGCCACGAATTGAGTCCCTCTTCTCCAGTTCTTCGGGGGTCGAGGCGGGTGGTTCGCCTTGCTTCTCAGACTCGTCGCTGGCGATGTCTTCCACACCCACGACGAGATAGGTTGTTGGCTCGCGAACAAAGTCCGCAAGCACCTGCAAGGAACAGCGGTGGGGGCGCGCGGAAGCGCCGGGGAGGGGGTAGGGATTGACCGAGGGTTACCCTAACGATGTGCCTGATACTTGAAAGAAGCGGTTTGTCACGGTTGTTGTAGTTTCCGGATCAAGAACCCTCTCTCCTGCGCAAAATCGAGCCCCTCTTCCTTCAGACAGCACTTCTGTCGAGGCGAACAACAAAAAGAAGCGAGCCGCCTGCCTCCACATACGCGTCAACACTCGTCCGATGCTTGTTTACGCGATCGCTTTCTCACCCCAACGTCCGTGTCAACCAGCTCCTCCAGTACGGTTGTCAAGAAGCGGCCCAGCACCCGGGTTTCCGTCCGGAGGCCTTCCGGGTCCGTTCGACGGTGGGGCCCTAGTGCCTGATCCAGCCGGTCCCAGAAATCAGCTGCTCCGTGTGCATGCAGAGTCCGCACGGTATGGGCGAGAGAAGAGAAGTCTGGGTAGGAACGCCAAGCACTGAGAAGCTCGGTCTCAGTGCCCGTGACTACCTGCGTGGGGAGCAATCACCGTCGGGAATCCCCGCGCGAAAGTAGTAGGGTAGAGCGTCCGTTTGGCTGTCCAGGAATGAAGAGTGCTCTTCGAGACCTGAGGAGGAACTGGGTCGTTGCTACTGCTGTAATTCAGTCGTGTGCTTGGTCTACGATAATACATGGATGTCGGCGAGCTGGTAATACCGGTCTAGTGTCGTCCTACTGCAGGGGTCTACCCCTGACATATTACTCAGTCAATGGCAACAACAACAGCGTGGCACGCACCTGGTACACGCATTCCCGCGACTTCGACCTGAACACTACACATACATAGATATACAGCATTCCGACGGAACTGGTTCGCCCAAGGACTTGAGAATAGTCCCAATATGTTTCCTAATTTCTACGTTTGAAAGTGGTACGGGAGTACCCTCTACAACGTATATACCTTCGGGAAAGCACTTCGCGCCCAAGAATACCGTTACCAGTGACGAGAGCAGCAATAGCATATCACGTCACAATAGAAAAACTCACGAGGTACTCCGCGTAGCTTTCGGACAAGAACAGCCACCTTGAACGGCAAACCACTCGATGGGCGTAGATGCCTATCGCGAGAGACGGTTGGTCCCTCGATGCCACGCTGAAGTCCGCTTTCGTCACGGCACAAGGGGCAACCACCTGGTTTCGCAGTGTTGGCCGTGGGCACACGCATTCGTCGGGATGTTGCTGTACTCCTTTGGTAGCTGCCGGTGGGGAAGGGACAGGTGCGTTGAGGGTGACTAGTGACGCACCCCATAAACAACCAGCATACCCAGTTGGGCAGGGATGTTTCAACAGCTCCCGTTGCGCGCTCGACATGCTACAGTAGTACAGTGCAGTGCCCACTCTCCACGTCGATGGATTCTGGCGCACGAGCAAATAAGTGTCTTCTTACCTTGTCACTCTCTCGCCTGGACGGAGAGCGAGGTGCTCGCAAGGATAGCAAAGCGTCTGTGTTGATGATAGTCTCGTCAACGCCACTTGCACCCTGGTTGGGCGAAGGTGAGAGGGAACCAAATTGGGTACGCTTTGAGAGATAATAATAACTAGTAGACAGAAATCAAGAAAGTTTCGGAAGTGAGTGCGTCGGTACCCAACCACCGGTTGCTGGTACAGGACTCGATGCAACCTTCTCTGCCAGGTTGGGTGTTTATGCTCCGGTGTAAGCCACAACATCAAGCTAGGCCGTAATAGCAATCGGCAGTAGTTCCCCGCTGTACGTTTAGAAAGTTGTGCATGCAGACTTGAAGTTTGACTCCCAGCTGAATGGTCGTCTTCACTCGCAGAGGCTGTGAGAGTGAGAGGGGAGAAGAGGCGACGATTTTCTCTTTCCCTCAACCTTCCCTAAATAAACCAGTATCCAAAGACCCAGGAACAGGTTGAAGGCTGTCGCTTTCAAAAACCTCAATTTGCTATAAATGAATCCATTATTGTCTAGGGCATTAGTCACATGCTTCCAAAACTCACGTGGCAACCTGCTTCTACCTCCTCGAGCCAGCAGAACACGCGTTCAAGAGCGCGTGGTAGCGCACTGCCGTCGTCGTGCCTACATGCGGTCGGCTGTTGCAATAACACGCCCTCCCCATTCTCGCTGTCCCAGAATCCAGAATGGAAGGACGCTGTGCGCGAGGTCAGTAATGGCTCGATATCGAACCTGGGGGGGGAGAGTGAGTGCAGCAGCAGTGGCGGTGTGCATTCAACAGCGCAGATTTAACGGAGAGTTTGGAACGGCGTGAGTGATTGACGAAGATACTCCGCTGCGTGCATCTCACTCGGGGCAAAAAATGCGCTGTACAGCAGTCTGTAGTGCGGACAATCACAGCAGAAGCAGCACTGTAGATGGGACTAACGCATACACACACCCCAACCTTTCGTTTTACAAGGGAATACCATCACAAAGATTTCTCTGACGTTCTCAAGTTCATGTTCTGATGCGAGCGAAGGTCTCACATGTCCAACCTACCGTCCGAATTCGTCACTCACTCAACCTTCAACTATCCGCGCCCCACCCACTACCCACCATCCGAACTCGTTACTGTTCCGCCGACCATGCTCCCTTGAAGAGTGCGGGCTTTGTGGCTCAACGCGTAGTTGAGAAAGTGGACTAGGTAGCAGCGGCATTATCCTGCACTCGGCACCACAGCTTGGGGGTGTAGGAAATGTTAGCTCCTGAGCTCCGTCTCGAAGACAGCCACGTACATACGAGCAGGACAAAAAGGGGCGCGTCGGCGCGTCATCCATCGGCTGCCGAACCGCTGTTGATTGTACCGCATTCCTACCGACCACCCGATCGCCAACCGCCAACCGCCAACCGCCAACCGCGGTATGTACACATACGGGCACGATGAACTGTGTAGTCAGACAGAAAAGTAAACTCACCGCCGTCGGCCTTCTTCACTCCCACCATATGCGTGCGTCTGCTGGCGCTGCTTGATGCTGCTGCGCTATATGTCTCCTCGGGTCGTGGAGCATAGGAGCGGAGGTCCCAGATGGGGCAACCCTTCAGGTGTGTGTGTGTAGTCTATGTACATAGTGACAGTCCCATATGATAGGAAGAAGAGGGTCTGCCCAAATCGTTGATCGATGAATATGCGTTCCCAACGCGAGGTTTACCCATCATCAGTGTGCCCGGCTTGCAATGTGCACCGGAGAGCTCCGCAGAATCGGAAATTTTATCGAGAGGAGTTTCTTAGGAAAGATGTGCTGCGCTGTCAAGCGTCGATGAAGGGGCGGAGGAGGAGCGTTGAGAGAACAGGAAAGTCCGGGAAAATAAAAACAAGAAATGGCTTTTATTATTCCTTAATTAAGAAATGGAGCCATTGCAGATTAAAAACAATTTTTCTGTGATAGAGATGGATTCGTTGTGTCATATTAAGAGAAAAAAAAAAAAGAAGACTACTACAGCAATAATATATGCATTCACTCGAAAAGGGGCATAGAAGAATGAATGTGTGTCGTCCTTGTGCAGAACGCATGCAAATGCATTTTTGCCTAAAGCGAGAAAATGATGGCATTTTTGCCTAAAGCGAGAAAATGATGAAACGAAGTAGTATCGTGTGTATTGTATCATCATAGGTCATTCGCTCTTGCGAGTAGGGGGAGGGGGTGTACTCACTCATAGATAGTCGTGCATCGTAGCCGTTAGACCATTTATTTTGGCCTCGCATCCCTACCGGGATGGAGCACGCCGGGTTCTCAACGGGCCAGGCTCTCACATCACCAAGCGCGAAGCTCCGTGAGGCATTCGGCCAGTCGCATGAAGAAGGGTGCGCTGCATCTGCTAAGGGTGTTCGGCATCCTGTGCTTACTTCCTTGCGTACAGATGACAGCTGCGTATGTATGTATGACTTAATTTATTTTCTAGTGCTTTCACTTCCAAGACAGTTGCAAGCACTGTGTAACTACCTCTCTCTATGTATGGTGCTTTGATCAATTTAATACAACGTGGTGCGATTATCCTGTTAGTGTGCACTGCCGCCCTCAGCGGTCTGTGGTGTTGAGGCTGGGTACTATGTTATCCCAGGGACAGCAGATGAAAAAGGACCATGTATAATATATCCGTCACGCAAGCCCCTCAGGCAAGCTGGTCACTAACACGCAAGCCCCTCAGGCAAGTGGCATCTTACACGCGAGCCCCTCAGACAAGTGAGCTCGTGGGCTCTTTCTCTCTCCAGCACCTGGGGTCTTCTCCTACCACCCCCCATACATTTCATTCATACTTCATACCCATTCACGTACCCCCCATCAGACGCATACAGCACATGTAGATCGGACACATTTCCAAAGTACCACAAACATATCCCCCTTGCGCGGAGAGACGGTTCTCGACCCCGCACAACATGATCTACTCGACCACCATTTATGGTTGCCGCAAAGAAATACAAAGAAAGGCGAAAAAACAAAATAAAAAAGAGCTGGGGGGGGATGAAGAAAAAGCTTACACCGTCGATAGAATGAAAAAAGAGACTCCCTCGCCGGGAATTGAACCCGGGTCTCATCGGTGAGAGCGATATGTCCTAACCATTGGACTACGAAGGAATTGTTCAACGGCATAGGTCCGAAATTTGGGCATATATTTTCGAATACTTTTGCTTGGCACTAGCTCATTCATCGCCTTTCAAGAATACCTCATTCAAACGATCGGGCACATCTACCATTTGTCTGTCCACTCGTTTTTGCCGACAATGACGCACGCATGCGATTTTTCCACAGAAAATACCTCTAGAGACAATCACCCATCGCCCCCAGTATATACCCTACTCCAACCATTGACCCATCTACCGTAAGGATGCCGGTCTTGGCACGGATCGGTGTCCACTCCCCCTGTGCGAAAACAATGAAGGAATAATAAAAACGCACACAGAAAGACTACCTATATTCGAGATATACCCACAGTCGAACGGGATGTGGAGGAGTCTTTTCAGTGAGTGGAGGGAAACCGGCTGGGTACTGGACTTATTTCGAGTCTTTTAAGGCTATACACTGATGATTTATACCAGTGATGCCAGCTGGTGCGTACAAAAACATCTGTATAGGTAACTTACATTTTTACAATACATCCCCTGTAGTTCTCTACTGGGTCAACGACAAAATATCGGGGAGAATCCCTCCGTTGTGTCGTGTATTGTACCTAGGCCCACACAACATAACACCTACCCACGTCAACACCGACCTAGCACCTATCCAAGCCAACCAACCTAGGTCGATTGCATAATCACCAACCTAGCACCTTGCAAGCAATACCAACCTAGAGATTGTCCCATCAATACCAACCTAGCGCCAATGCTGGCACACCAACCTAGAACTGAGCCACCCAGGGCCAACCTAGCACCTATCGGGTTGCTTTGGGGTTAGGTTTATAGGGTGTAGCGTTAGGGATTGTAGCCGGTATCATGTAAGTTGCTGGTTGACGGGACACAACACTTCGCCTGTCAGTAGAGCGACAGGTGGAAGACACGCATACATGTTCGTGACGCTCGTTCCTCACACAGGATTTCCGTCGGTGATAAGGTGTGGGTGCGTTTATATGCGCCCCTTTGGGTGCATAAATTATAAAAAAATCGTGAGAGCAGGTGAGGAAAAAGAAAAAGCTAACTTCAGAAATGGAAAAAGAAACCCCGGGAAGTGAACCCGGGTCTCATCGGTGAGAGCGATATATCCTTGCCGTTGGACTACGTATGTATGTATCCTGATCATTGGACTACGAAAGAATTGTTCCACGAGAACTTGGAGAATTTAGGGTATATGAATAGTTCTTTGCAATCGACCGAGTGTTTCTTGTTCTCGAAATATGTATTGCACCAGGAGCGCTTGTCGGCGCCTCGCTGCTGCTGCATGCTATCCCACATGCAATGCATCGCCCCCAAAACCGTTCTCACTCCAAGCAAACGAAAACGCTCGTGGTTTCTTTGCTATACGTTGATTTTTTTTTCTTCGATGATCTTCTATTTATTATTTTTCTCCTGCAATAGACCGAAAATAAACAGACAGGCCTGGCGACGAGGCGCGGCGAGCATGTTGTTTGTTCTTTTTCGGCCCCCACACCACATACATGCAGCGTCCGCGTTTGTGTTTGTTTTATTTTTCTTCGCCAAAAATGAACGCAGGCAGGCCTAATGTAGAGAGAAGAGACGCGGCAGGCGTCTTATTTCTTCGTTTCCCGGTCCCACAACACACGCGCACCGCTCCGTCGACACTTATTTATTCTATTCTTCCCATTGTTTGTTGTTGTTCGTTTATTCCTGAACCGAAAATGAATGCAGGTAGGCCTGGAGAACGGGGTGCGGTACCCTCTTGCCGCGAGGCACCGCGGGATAGACCCCTGGCTCTTCCTCGACCTCAGGGCGGCCAGGAAGTGGGTGCTGGACAACAGCGACGGCATGGAGGTGCTCAATCTGTTCAGGTATTGTATGACTTGCGGGTGTGACGCTGTACTTGTTGGGGGTAGGTACCGGCGGCGATCGTGAAGTTTTTTTTTTCTTCTCGTACATAACGGAGACTCCCGGTGGTGCTGTTTTTTCATCTGTTTCTTTTAGAAAATATACTTACAATCAAAGAGAGATTGCCCTTTTTTTCGGAATGGTACGTACCATACATAGCAGCAGTAAAGTTTTTTTTGTTTAGTTTGTGGCGGGGGCGGACGTTGTCTCTTAAACGGTGCTCCTTTCCGAACACATCTTCATCCCCCCCGTTGTTATTGTCCAGCTACACTGGAGGGATTGCTGCCGCGGCGGCGTGCGGGCGAGCCGCGAGCGTGTGGAACGTCCACTTCTCCGCTAGCGCCCACGAGGTACGGCGGAGTTGCAGCTGCTGCTTTCGTTGGTGTTGGTGGTACATGTATGTGTGTGGCTGTTGGTGGTGGTGGTGGTGATGGGTAGTGGTTTGTTGTCGTTGTTGTTGTTGTTGTTGTTGTTGTTGTTGTTGATGATGATGGTGGTGGTTGTGATTTTGGTCGTTGTTGCTTTTGTTGGTGCTGGTGGTGTCGCCGTCGTTCTTGCCATAGTCATACTTTTGTATGGTCGTTCTTTTCGTCGCCGTTGCCTCGGTGTTCGTCCTTGTCGTTGTCGTTGCCGTTGCCGTGGTCCCAGTCTCTGTTTTTTGTGTCCTTTCATACGAAGTGTTGGGGCGTTGGTGTTTTCTTGCCACAAGGACGCCGCCGCAAGTTGTTATCGCCTCAGTTGATGAAACAGAACATTCAACCTAGGCTATGCATGTATTCCACACACGCTAACCTTCTCAGTCCTCCAGGGACCACCACGGAAGGTCGAGAACGCCTCCGGCGACGCAACTCCCCAATGAGAAATTGATCACTTCCAGGGTGGAGAAGGGCTCACCACTTCGTTTCGAAAAAAAAGGAGTCAAATCGACATGTGTGTACATACAAAATGTCCCTTCGAACAAAAGACGAGTGTTTTCGAGACTGTTTCTGCCACAACACGCTCTTCCTCCCCCCTCCCTGTTCCGTCCTCTCGAGGACGCGTGTTCCAATGGCCTAACAACTAGGGCATGCAAAACGTCCACCCCCCCTCGGTGATGTGATAGCCTGGTCCGGGGAAAACACGACGTACTTTCGGCCCGGCTTTGCAATGTTCTATTTAGCGAATACGGCATGCACGGCTATGAGTACACCCTCACCCACCCACCCACCCACCCTCCCCCCCTCCCCCCCTCCGTCGTTCCCCGATATTGAACTGAAACAGGTTGGGAGGGCGAGCTTGAAGCTCAACGTGGGCTCGGCCGGAGAGTGCAAGTGCGAGTGGATGAAGCGGGACGTAAGTCGAAGAAACAGGCAGGCTTGCTCGCCGTTCCGTAAATCTTGAGGTCTTGGTTCAGGATTTTTTCTAGATGGAAGTACGGACGGCACGTTGAGCACAACTTGAGCCAAACACCTTGTATCTGTTAGAAACCGGGAGCTACAGCAGTGAGGCATGCGTGCGTTCTGAATGGTCGGAGGCTCAGGTTTGCTTGGGCAGAAAAGGGATGGTGCACGTTTTTAAAACTTGGTTGCAGAAAGGCGTCGATCGATTTTGATAAACGACCGGTGTTTGGCCTTTTCTTGATAACCCACTTCACAATCCTTTCTTTTCCGCTGCTGCTGCCGACAGCACCCTCGCACGTATCGACGTCGATGCACCAAGGACGTACAATTGCATTGCTGTGCATTGCAACTCCTGTCTACTCTCCGCATCAATTAGACACTTTTTTCCCTGCACGAACCCGTTGGAATGTACAGGCAGGTTGTTCGGTCACGGTTTTTAGTCATGCCCGTTGCACACACGAGGAAACCGCGTAGCCCCCCCTCCCCCGTGCGTATGTACTGATAGAAAAACTCATACTCGACCCCCAATTCGGTGCCACAGATACGACTTTGAACGTGCCACATCCCAGCGTGCCCCTACCTACAGCCTTTCTTTCTTTCATGACAAGTTGTTCCTTCTTTTTTTTGTGGGCTGTATATGTACTCGCACACTCGCGAACATCGCTCAGGTCTTGCCGACTATCAGACAGCTGGCTAGTACTCCGACAAAGGACTACCGAGCGGACAGGCGCGGCCGAAACGCGAAAATGTCGGGGGGGAGACACAGCCGGGACGCCGGGGGGCGGTACACACCTAGAGAGTCTTGTCTTGCGGCGTGTTGCGTGTTCGGCAAGGGCTTTTCTTCGGTATTCGTCCGCGCGATTCATTGATGCAGATGGCATACTAGTCGTGAGCTACACCCGTTAGACTACTCAGTCACCTGACAGAACAGTCTAACGGGTCAGCCTTTAGCTAATACGCACCCGTCTGCGATTAGTGCACGTGAGGGTCTGCCTTGATGTTGAGATATTTTTTAACCTGGAACAAGCATCCCTCACGGGAAGGGGTGTGGCTGAGAAGCCTTTTCTCAGCTACCGCAGCACAACCAACGCCCACGACGCTCTTATCACTTTTTTACACGTTTACCGCCATGTTTTCTCAAAGTCGGGGGCTCTAATCTTGTTGCTGCTTCTTCCCTTCGATTCTTGGCGACAAGTTAGCGGCCACTGTTGTGCCGAGGCGCGCGCTGGGGGGGCGAGCGAGGGGGAGTACGATATACCCCGCCATGCCGTGTGTGGGTTAAAGAAGACTATGTTGAGCGAGGACAAGGAAGAACCAGACTCATTTTCGCCGAAAATCGTGCCAAACTCTCACTCGCGGCCTCTGTCTTAAAAATGAACACACAGGGGGGGGTACGCAAACCCCCACTCTCGAGGCGGCGGCCAGCGGGGGGGGCGAGGCAGCGGCGGGCGATCCAACGGCTACGGGGACGAGAGGGGGGGTCGGTCTGGGGGCGAACAGGGGAGGGGGGGCGGAGAAGAGAAGGACTTGAAAGCCAAGCAGTCCGACTTGGTCTTCTTGGACCCCCCGACGTGGTCCAAATCCAAGCACGGGGCAGTAGACCTTGTCAGGGACTATCAGGTCTGTTGTCTTGTCTGTTGTGTGTGCGTGGCACGCGTTGGGTGATGTCATCGTCTCCAACTCCGTTATTCTGCTGCATACAAACGTGTTTGTTTCGTTTGGTGTTACTAAGAAATTCTACATACAGGGTCGAGTCCTAGATCCGATGTCCGTTGAAGTCTCCTTGGATGCATGACAACATTCCACTGAGTCTAAAGGCTCACACGCTCCTCCTGCGTCTCAATGAAGTAAGTATACCCCGCCCTCGTGGTGCATGCGTGCGTGGTCACATCACAGGCGCTGTTCAAGCCGTCGCTGCTAGCCACCAAGGAAGGGGGAGTCGTCCTTGCGACCAGCAACGTGTCGACGGTGGACTGCGCGGAGTGGGTGGAGAATCTTTCGAAGTGAGTGCGTTTCTGTGTTTTTTTCTGTGTGTGTGTGTGTGTGTGTGAGAGAGAGAGAGAGAGAGAGAGAGAGAGAGAGAGACACACACACACACAGACAGACAGACAGACAGACAGACAGACAGGCAGGCAGACAGACGAACAGACAGACAGACAGACGACAGACAGAGACAGAGACCAAGACGCAGATAGAGACAGAGATTGAGAAAGAAAGCGCGAGGGGGGAGAAAGAGCGAGATAGAGAGAGGGAGAGGGGGGGCGAGAGGGAGACAAAGAGAGAGGGCGATTTTCACTATGTCTCCGCGAACAACACGTAGGAAGCGTGCAGGAAGTACGAGACGAATTCGAAGCGGCCTTTTTTTCTTTGTGTTTTTATCCTGGACCTCTCTCTTCTCGTGTTCCAAGTGTACTCGTGAGAGAAAAGGTATACTTGGCCAACTACTGGGTATGTGGGTTTCCCGTTCTTTTGTGCCGGCATTTTTTGTGCTCGTTCTCGTTGCTTCTCTTCTTGTGGTTTCAGCCGTAACAATGCGAGACTGCCGCTGAGATGACGAGCACGAGAGTCGCGTGTGCGCAACGACGAAGCTTTTGGTCCCAAGCGGCTCGCTGCACCCCGATTGGCGATGAAAAACCAACCCTTAAGATGCCAACGTCTCCGCGGAAACAACACATATCCCCCCCCCCCCCCGCAGAATAAATAGGAAAAGGCTTCGTAGACAAGAAAATATCGTCCGAGCTGTGGGCATCCAGGGTTGCGAGAGAAGCGGTGCTGCTCCGTCTCGAACGAAAAAGGGATGGGCAATCAATTGTCGAAACAACGGGTTCATTTGCCGAGAAACATCACGGCAGCAGCCTCCGTCCACCTCGTGTTCATTTTCCAACACAGGTGCGCCGCGAAAGCGGGTCGAACGGACAGAATGTGTGCCACTATACATACAGTAGATTTCGGCCACAAGAGGCAACCAAGCTACTTGCAGCGCTGGGACATAGCCTTGGTAGTCACGAGGGCGCTTATGACCTATACCTTGGTGTGAGATGTGAGCCGCTGCATAAGACGATGACGTCAAGTGTTGACTGCAGTTGTGCGTGGGTGTTCGTCCCATCTTGCTGGCACTACACACCTTTCGGTGTATGTGTTTCGACATGCCAGCCGGGGTGACACAGCTTCTTTATTCATTTGATTCAAAAAAACTACGTTCCTCTCTACTGCTGTACGCATACGTCAAGAGTCAATACTTAATGCTGCAGCTAACGATGTATGCTATGTTTCCATGCCTGCTAAGTCTGAGACTGCATGATAAAGAGGTGAGTAAAAGCCGTCTGACTGCTTCTGTGGCCTCATGCCGCCCCCTGTAGCGGGACAATCGGGGCAAATCTCGCAAATCTCGCATAGCAATCCCTGCCAGGAAAGCAGCTTTTAAGTGGATGGCCCACCAGATGGTTGTTCACACCAAGTATACCTTGGGCATGAAGAGATTCCCCAAGCCGAGCGATCGAGCCTTTGCCTTGTGTCTCGACAACACCGCCGGGACTTCCTCCCACCAGTTCCCGTCCTGGCCTCGATTTCTGCCATCTCCTGCGTGAATACGCCCCTTGGATGGGCGTTTCTCTGCACCCACTAGTCCGATCGGGATGCCCGATGGCTCGTTTGTTAGCTGTAGACCGTGCCAACACAATAAAAGTCTTCGTAAGACAAACAACGTCCGGTAGATAGAGTTTGGCCTGGTGGAGCAGATAAGCTCCACCGGCCCTTAAGTCGCTGAGCCCCCGATGGTGGGCGTTTTTCTGCACCACTTGTCCGATCGGGGTGTCTCATGGCTTGAATGATAGCTGTGAGTCGCAGCAACACAATCCAAGTCTTGTTAGGGCAAACAACACCCTTTACATAGAGTTTGGCCTGGGGAGCAGTTAAGCTTATCTGCTCCACCGGCCGTTGAGCGACTGAGCCCCCGCGGGTGGGTATTTCTCTGCATCCACTAGTCCGATCGGGGTGCGCAGTGGCTTGAATGATAGCTGTGAGCCGTGCTAACACGGTGCAGTCAGAGTTCGGCGCGGTTTAGCTATGTGACGGGAGGTATTGCGGGACAAATTATATTTAGAGGCCAATTGAAGCTGGGTGGACGGAGTGTCGAGACGATTACTGCTGCTTGACATGCTGCGGAACCCATATCTCTGTAGCCCCCGGTCGGATTTAGCTTCTAAGTAGCATTGCAGAGAACTGTAGTCCATACCTACACGATGCAATTGGTTTGAGGTCGATTGGAGCTGTGTGGGTGGAGATCCACCTGGTGGAGCAAATAAGAGGTTACTCCACCGGTGGAGCAAATAGCATTGCCG